TATATATTATACATAGTAATTATTTTATAGATAACTAATTTAAAATGTATTCAATAAAATTTAAAAAACAAAATAAGTTGGCGAAATGTTATTGGATATACATGTGTATAATTGTAATTGGTTTCAGTATGGATTTATACATCCTCTATTCAAGCAGATAGTTGGGTATCTCGTAATTGTCGTAGACGCCCGAGAATTTGATCACCCAGCCGATGCCGTCGTAGTTGACCGACTTGTGGAACCGCACAAAGAGCTGGCTGCGCTTGCTCAAGTAGATGCGGGGCTGGTCCTCGCCGCAGAAGCGTCGCATCTCCTGCAATTCGTTGCGCTCGTTCTGCTCCTGGATCACAAGGTAGTCCGTATGGCAGGTGGCCTTCGAGCCAAGGTTGAAAACTGAAAGCATAGATGTGTTAGATATATACCAGATATATGCGGTTGACAATTTCATTTACATTCAAAGTAGAGCAGGACTCGCGTGTTGCTCGGCACACGAACACTCCAGCGGCAGTCGGAGTTGTTGCGCACATTCTGCGGGTAGAAGGGATTGGCGAAGATGCCCTCGGTGTTGTACAGCTGGCCACCGCAGCCGGGTCCGTCGGCGATGGGTGACGCAATGTACGTCAAGTCGAAGCTGTTGAAGTAGCTGCCCGTCTTGAAGTGCAGCCGCAGCTCATTTGTCGACGTGAACAGGCTCTTGCCTGGATTCATGTAGGAGCACACGCGCTGCAGCGACTTGTTGCTGACCTTGTCAAAGATTTCGATGTTCTCCACATTGCAGTCGGACGAGCCGAACACCACCTCGGCGTAGTAAAGGCTAAGTGTGTAATTAGCCGGTGCCAAGATTTCAGCATCGCAGTCCAAGCTCTCCGATATCTTCACACGGCCCTGCAGGCCGCCATAGCTGAACTTGCAGGTGGCGTCCGGCACAATGCGAATGTGAAAGCCGGGCCGGGTAACGGCTCCATTGCTACGGAACTTCACGTACACTTGCTTGGAATTTGGATAGTAATCATCCGGCAAGCCATTGCCGCAATAGACGTGCTCCAAGTTAAATTCGTTATACAAACGGGACGATTTTCGTCCGTTGAAGATCACCATATCGCCATAGCCCTGCTCCACAAGTTGCGCATCCTGTATGGAATTGAGGTAGAGCAAATTAATTCAATTCCCATTATGAAATCTAAGATCAATTGAGCAACCAATTAAGGATCAAACACTATTACTTCACTAAAAGATGTAAAGGTGTATATACATATAGGGGTCAATCCTGGTGGATCCTACTAGCCTAGAGGAAATCGATAAGATTCGGAGATGTAATGATGGACAGAATATTAAAAAGAAAATGTTTCCCATTGCAAATTTGACTGCACATATCGCTATCTATAACTGTTGACAGGAACTCTAGGCTGTAGGTCTTTAGCAAAATACTTAAGAGGATATCAAATAAAGTCAGATAGTTAATCAATCCATATACGACTCTAGTTACTCTTGAAATGACTCTGCATCATCTGCTTGAGCTGCTGTGAAACTTAAGTGCTTACCTCCGAGCTGTAGATTTTGATAAAGTCCGCGTCGCAGCTGCCCGTCGCATTGGGCGCCTCCAGATCGAGACTGACGAACTTGAGATGCAGCGATATCTCGCTCTCGATCTTCCACAGACAGAAGACGTTGTTGTCGTAGTTGCCGCGATCATTCACCGGGGATCGCAGGTCGTAGGGCTGCTTGCCATCAAGCTTGATCAGTGAGCTGCCGCACTGCAGCGGCTTGGCCGTAACAATCACCTCGAAGCCGGTGTCCGTGACCTTTGAGTCGGTGACGAACCGCATGAAGAGCACGTGGCGCGATGAGGTTAGCGTCGGTGGCAAGTTCTGGCCACAGAATTTGCCGATCTCATCGGCGAACGGTCCGGCGCCATCGCGCAACTCCAAAAAGTCACCGGAACAGTCCTTCGTCTCCTCCACGTGAAAGCTGCGGAACTCGACGCTGATCTGAAAGCCGGAATCCGCCCGGAACTTAAAGCTGCAGTCCAGATCGTTTGCATAGGAGCCGACAAACTTGTTGAACGTGTAGCTCGCATTGCGCTCGCCCAGATAGATGCTCTCATCACAGTTGGGCATGACGCGCACCAGCGCCCGGAAGCCGACCGACGGATCCCGATCATCGGAGTAGCTGTGTATGAGCGCCCGGCTGGTGGGTATATGCAGGGTGGGCAGCTCGTCGGTCAGGCGTCCGCAGAAGCGCGCCAAGCGCTGCTTCTCGTCCGGCACGGGGCTGGAGAAGACCTCGACGCCATCGTAGCTGCACAGCTGATTGCCGTCCTCAAAGTCGAGCAGCTCGAATTTGACGGTGAACTTGTGGCCCTCCGGCGCCGTCAGATTCCAGTAGCAGTCGCTGTTGTGCGGCATCATGTTGTCCTGATGCTGTCGCACCGACTCCACCATTTGCGTTGAGCTTACAGCGCCGCCGCACAGATTCGTCGAGTACTCCAGCTTGAAGCCACGCCCGCTGAACGAGCTGTCCGAGCGAAACACGAAGCTAATGGACTTCGCCGCCCGGTACGCATACTGATTCTTGTGCCCGCAGATGACCACCTCCTGCTGCCGATCGGCAGCGTCGCGCGTCGTCACCGTCACATTGTCGAACATGCAAACACTCATGGGCGAGCGCTCCAGGTCGAAGTCCAGCAGGCTCACCAGCACGCCGACTGCATTCGAGTCGCGTGGCTTGATTGTGTAGTTGCAGTAGAGATTCTTGGCATAGCCCTTCGGATAGCCGGGACTGATGATCTCCTGCGGCTCGGGGCCGGCGAGGAGGTCGCCGCCGCAGATGCGCTCAAATAGCGCACTGAAGCCATCGGCCGTTGTGTCGCCATCGGAGCGGAAGATTAGCCGCATCGCTGGCCCCGTCGACTCAATGATCTTGGGCGGATCGCGACCGCATAGGTTGGCCAAATCCGTCCAGTTGCCCGTCGACGATGACTGGCTGCTGTTGCGCTCCTGGACACGCAGATAGTCCTTGGCGCAGTTGGCGCTGTCCTCGATGTAGAAGCGTCCCTGGAACGAGAGCGCAATATGGAAGCCCGGATCGGCCTCGATTTCCCAGATGCACTCCACATTGTTCTTGTACTGCTCGCTGAAGTCGATGATGCGATAGGGGTAGGTCAAGCGGCCACCGCAGCCGCTGCCGTATTTGACGGTCACATTGAAGCTGGAGTTGCGATTGGCATTGGCCGGCGGCTCGAGATGGTATTCGATGAATAGGCCACGTTCCACCACCAAATTGACGGCCGTCGCCTGACTGCAGTAGCGGCCCATAACGGGCGAGTTCTGATCGGGTCCACTGTAGAGGATGAGGTAGTGCAGCTTGCAATCGCCCTCGAGATTGACGCTCACGAACACCTCCAGCTGGACGTCCTGGGGCGAAAGCGGCTCCTCGATCGTCTGATCCGGCCCGACGGCCCAGGCGCAGTTGATAGTCTGCTCGCCGGCCAGATGGCTGGGCTGGCTGATGGTCACATTGTCGCTCAGCTCTAGGGGCACAATGCCGCCGCAGCGCTGCAGGCTGTAGGCCAGCTCGAGCAGCCTCATGTTGTTGCGTCGATTGCCGGAGACGGTCATCACAACCGGAAAGGGCAGGCGTACGCTGGGCACCGTCTCATTGACCTGATTGCCCTGGCTGGCCTGGCTGGCCTGGCCGCTCGGACAGAGCAGCAGCGGCAGCAGCGGCTCAGCCTCGTCGGGACGTGTCAGCTTGAGGGGCGTCATGACGCGGCATATGTGTGTGTTGGGCATGAAGCTGCTGTTGAAGCGCTGCACCTGCAGCAGCAGCGTGCTGTTCTCGGGCGGTCGCAGCTCGTAGCTGCAGTAGACCACGCTGCTGTCGTTCTCCCTGCTGAAGAGCAGGACGCTGCTGACGGAGAAGTCGAAGCGGGAGTGGCACTCGCTCTGGCCGAAGGCGCTGAAGCGCAGCTTGAAGCCGCGATGCTGACTAAAGGGCAGCAGGAAGCTGTCGATGCCCATCGTGTTGTCCGTGGAGATGACCTCGGCGGGCGGATTGTTGGAGTACCGCCCGATAATCGACTGTATTCTGTGATCGTTGGAGAAGGTGATGCGGCCACGGAAGGTGCTGTGCGTGTTGTTCGCGGTGGCGCCATTGTCGAAGTCCAGTACTTCCACCTTGACGCGCCGCCCCTTCGGCACCTGGATGCGCCAGGCGCAGTGCGTTGGCACCCGGACACCGGACGGGTAGTTCGGCGTCTGCAGCACACCCTGCACCGCGTGGATGGTCTCACCGCAGCGAGCTCCGATCGCGCTATAGCGCAGCTGGAAGCTCTGATCGCTTCCCAATTGGCCGCTGGGCATGCGCAGGCGTATCACAATTTTGTTCGTCTCGACCAGGAAGTGTCGACTGGTAGTGCCGCAAATCGTCAGTCGATCGCTAATGGTGTCGCCGAACGGCTCGATCTCCTCCAACTCCAAGTGCGTGTCCTCCGTGCAGTTGCCGGAGTCTATTGCCAGCGGCAGATGCATCATCTCGAACCGCAGATCGATTGTGCTGCCCTTTTCCACTTCGATGGTGTAGACGCATTCCTTGAGCTTCTTCGGCTGCAGATGCAGCTGCAGCTGCTCCGCACTGGGCGAGTGAATCAGCCCACTGGCGCTGTAGTAGCTGCCGCCGCAGTCGGCCAGCTTGATCAGCGCTTGGAAGCCCGGACGCGGCTCCAGCACGCTCGTGTAGAACTTTATGCGCAGCTCGCTGCCCGATGAGTAGACAATATCCGGCTTACGGTTGCCGCAGTACCGGCCGAGCTGAGGCATGAGCTCGGTGCTGCCATCGTTCAGCTGAACAAACTCCCGGTCGCATCCGTCATCCTCCTCACTGCTGTTCCCGTTCCCGTTCCCGTTCCCATTGCTGCTCGGCGTCAGATCAAAGTTGCCAACGAACTGCACAGCGATGCGATGGTGAGACGGTGCACTGATGCGCCACACGCACTCCGAGTGCGGGTTCGGCAAATTGGGATAGTTGGGTGAGCTGATGAGGCGTTCGCTATTGTTGCCGGGACCCTCCTCCAGGAGAATGTGGCCGGAGCAGCCGTGGCCCAGCTCCTCGTACCGGAAGGCGGCACGGAAATACGGCGATAGCTTCTTCTGGAACTTGATGTACGCCCGGTTGGAGCTGGTCTCCAGCACATCGGTAATATTGCTCTCACAGTACTTGCCACGGCCGAGGAACGGCGAGTCCTCCGCATAGCCATTGCGCACCACAATGAAATTGGCACAGCTGTCCATCTCCACGACGCTGTTCCGGGTGCTCAGCTGCGACTCGAGGAAGGTGATCCGGATGCGTTTGCCCTGACGCACGCGTATCGTCCAGACGCACTCCAGGGGATACACCAGAACGTTGGACACCAGCTCCGTGATGTTGACCGTGCCCTGTGGGGCAGTCAGCTCCGAGCCGCACATGGTGCGAAGCACGCTCGCAAAGCCCGTCCTATTCACGCTCGCATCGGTGACGAACTCCAGGCGCAAGTACGGCTGGCCGTGAAACACTAGCTTCTCCGTAGTGTTCGGCTGCTTGCATATCTTCGTCAGCTCCGTCCAGTCCTGCATGTCACTGCTGCTGGACACAGTCAAATAGTCGGCATAGCAATCGTTCGAGAACTGCTCAAAGTCAACGACCATCAGCTGCACGGCCGCATGTGTGGCCGGATTGCTGGGCACCAGGGTCCACACGCAATGCAAGTTGTGGGCATAGCCGAACGGATAGCCGGGCGAGTTGAACGCAATGACCGACCGATTGAGCGAGACCAACTGCTGGCCGCACTGGCGAGCCTGCAGCTCGGCGGTGCGATTCGAGGCCAATGCCTCCTTGGACAGGCGCTCCCAGCTGAACTGGAACGGGCCCCGTGTGGCCGTCACGTAGAGCACGTTGGTGCTGGAGATTAGTGGCTTATATGCCGGCACCGCCAGCTGGGCACCGATGTCCGTGTAGCCGTCGTAGAAGCGAACGTGCTGCTGGTCCACATCGCGCAAGTGCTTCAGGTTGACCAAGACCACGTAGTCCGTGTCGACGGTGATGCGCCAGCTGTACGGCACATTGCTCTCGAACTTGTCTGGATAGTGGGGGGATTCCACTTCGCCCTCTGTACCATTGAGCTCATTGTGTTGCTCTGCAAAGGTGGCTCACGGCCGTTAGAGAAAGAGAGGCAAAGAGAGAGGGCTGTAGGGTCTAGCGACTTACCATAGTTATAGCTGGCCATGAAGCCCTCGCCGACAACATCGTCGTTGCTCTTGAACTTGATCCAAATGCTGCCCTTGGAGTGAATCGTCGGCGGCACCTGGTTGCCACAGTAGACACCAATGAGAGCACCGCGCGGCGACTCTTCGCGCAGTTCCAGGTAGTCGTTGTTGCAGCCCTCGGACTGCTCCAGATCGAGCGACTCAATTGTCAGAGTCTGCGAGTTGCCCGCGCTGGCCTCCACTACCCATTCGCACTCAATGTTCACCGGATAGCTGTCGGGGTAATAGGGCGAGGTGAAGCGCCCAGAGAGTCCATTGTAGATACTACCGCACGTCGTGTCCATGTTCATGTAGTGGCCCTCGAACTCGGCGACCAGGGCCAGGGGCACACTTATTGTGAGAGCGTGGCCCCGCGAGATGATCGCCGGCGGATGGGAGCGACAGAACTGCTGGCGCGGCCGGCCTGTAGCCGCGGTGCCCTCATAGATCTTGACACCGTCCGCCTGGCAGTCGCCCTCCTTCGGATAGAGGGCCGAGGCGTCGCTGTGCAGCTGGATGTGGGTGGGCGTGAACATGATGTGCCTGCTGGGATCGGCTGCCTGCAGCACCCAGACGCAGGTCTCGTTGCGAGCCACCTGGTGCGACAAGGTCATGTACTGGAAGTCGGACTCATCGATGACCAGCTTCTGGCCGCAGGATTCGCGATAGGTTATCTGAAAGCCTCCGCTCTGCACTGAGTCGTCTGTGACGAAGCGCACGGTGGCTCGATTCGTGGCGGACTCGTTTCGCTTCGGATTCAACACGTCGCCTGCTCGGCCACAGAGCTTAAATATCTGATTGGCCTCGCTTTCGTCGAGAGTATCGCTGTCCATATCAATGTTGGAAATCACACTGGTCCCGCTCATGTCGTAAGCAACCACATAATCCCAGCCGCATTCGAAGCCCGACTCTAGGTCAATATTGTCGATGGTGAACTGGATCGTGTGATGCGGCGTCACCTCCACCTGCCACTCGCACTCACTGTTCCGCGGATAAGGTTTCGGATAGTTCGGCGACTGAATGATGCCGCTCTTAGTCGACAGTCTGCCACCGCAGGCTGAAAAGGTGAGTGGGATCACGCATTAGATAACTGATCTGACTCTAGTTCATTCATAGGTATAGTCTAGTCTAGTCTAGCTACGWCTCAATGACTTCTTCAAACCTTCAACTTCAAACTTCTTCAGCTCCATTTTTCAATTTGCCGCTACCCCAATTGGCATATATACTACACCATCTTGTGGCAAATCAAGAGAGAGTCCTGCGGTCATAACTATAAAACGTATTCAGTTTTTCCCGATATAGTAGATATAGTCGTCTTATATCTTTGATCTTGTGCTGTGTGTATTCCGAGTTTCAAGTCTTTTGAATAAGTAGGATTCGCTATATAGTCACAACCGATTTATCGGAACTTTCTGACAAGCCGAGGAGTAAATAATCCTATTTACCACAGCCCTAGCGGGAAAATCTTAGCACAATCATTTGAGGTCCAACATTCTTATGACTAACACTCGTACAGGCAGACAGACAAACGGGCGGACAGCAAGACGGACATTATACAAAACCAATAGACTGATTTCACTTCATGAAAGACCGTCAAAAAATAAAAACAATCACGAATGGATTCCACCAAAACCCAAAATTTAGAATAAATTGCGGCTTGTGCTAGCCGAGCATTCAATCAGACAGACAAACACCAGTTTAAATGAGATCCGTTGATGCCAAATCCAGGCAGCATCTAGATCAAATCTAGATCGTAAGGCAGTGCAGATAAAATCAAGATCAACTTACGACTCTTTATAACTTTATAGTCTGCCTTGAAGCCGATTCCGTTGTGGGAACTGTCGGTGATGAGGCGGACGTGCAGCTTGTGTCCGGCACTGGTGTAGATCAGTTTGGGCTTACGGCCACAGTGTTTGTTATGGACGTTGACATCACGGAAGCTATTCGATATCTATGGGAAAGGGGCACAAGTTGATCAATGACAAATCATGTAGATGATGCTGAGATATGTAGGTGACAGACCACTAGGGCATCCTTGGTACAATTGACGCTCTCCTCAATGTCCATGTCCAGGATAGTCAGCTCGATGACCTGGCCGGGAGTTGCGTGTATCAGCCAATAGCACTCGACATCATTGGGGTACACCTGCGGATGCTTGGGCGACCGGAATGTTCCCTTCTCGCCACGCAGCTCCTGGACACACCCGTCGACGCGATACTCCAGCCGAAAGTTGATGCTGCTCGTGTTGTGGACAATTGTCAGGTTGTCGGCCTTGGCGCTGTACGCGATCAGACCCAGCACAGGCACCACGCTGGCTCCATCGATCAGATAGACGCCGCCGTCGGCGTCGGTGGGCAGCCGGTTCTCGCGATGATCGAAGTGCGAGAATTCCAGCCGTATCTGATTGCCCCGAGGCGGTCGCAGCTGCCAGCTGCAGTTGATGGCGCCCTCGAAGAAGGCCTCGCCGTAGTTGATGCTCTCGATAACGCCCTGGGTAGTGTTCACAATGTTCTGGCAGACGGTGCTGTAGGACAGCCGAAAGCCCCGATCTGCATTACTGATGTCCGAGTGGAAGACGATAACCGCCTCATTATCATCGACAAGCAGCACCCGGCTATTTTCATCCGGGCTGCTGCACAGCACAAAAGACGGGTGATCCAAGAGCCGACTGTTGCTGCCGCCGCTGTAGATGCGCAAATAGTCGTAGCCGCAATCATCGAGAGTCTCCATCTCCAGGTCCTCAATCACTATCTGCAAGCTGGAGCCGGAATGAACGCGCAGCTGCCACTCGCACTGAGCGTTGTGCGGATACGTGCTGGGGTAATTGGGCGAGGTGATGACACCTTCATTGCCAATCAGCCGGCCGCCACAGCCGTTGGCAAAGACGCGCCACGAGAGCCGGAATCCACGGGCGCTGTCCACGTCATCCGTGTGGAAATGCAAATAGAGGTCGTGCGTGAAGCTGGGTATGCGGCGCGGTATGCTCGTGCCGCAGTAGCGTCCGATGAGGGCGGAGCTGTTGCTGCGACCGTTGCGCACCTCCAGCCAATCGCCGCTGCAGTTGCGCGTGGCCGTCAGCTCGAACATGTCGAACTGCAGCTCCATCTGGCTGCCGATGGGCGAGCTCAGCTGCCAGATGCAGTCGAGTCCGTTGGTGTAGTTGAGCGGATACTCCGGGGAATTGAGCATGCCATTGGAGGCGTGTATGTGACCGCCGCAGCTGTTGCGCTCGACGAACCGGTACGACAGCTCGAAGCCATTGGCCACATCGCTAAAGTCCGACACAAACTTGATCGTGAGGAGGCGAGCGTGGCTTAAGAGATCCTGCGGCACTTTCGTATCACAATAGCGAGCTATCGCATTTGTTGCCTTCCCCTCGCCAGCACTTAGGCCATCGTAGATCTCCACATAGTCGTAATTGCAGTCGGGCGTGCCCTCCAGCTGAAAGCTGAGCCAGTGCAGCAATATGGCCTTGTTCGGCGGCGCCATGATGATCCAGTAGCAGGTCAGCTCATTCCTATAGTTGCCAAGCGCATCTACCGGCAAACGTATGTTCTGGCCCTCCTTGGTGTGCACGCCCCCACACCGGTCGCTCTCCACGGGCACGGCGCGATAGTCGAAGCGGAAGCCGCGACCCGTGCTGCTGGGCTGCGTCTGGAGGTGCAGTATTAGCATGTTGGTCTGACTGACGTAGTCCTCGGCGGGCAACCCCTGGCCACAGTAGGGCCCCAGGATGGCGCGATTGAGGCCGTCGTTGATGGTCAAGGATGTGCCGCCAATGCATTCGCCAGTCTCAACGGCCTCGTCCGAGTCCCCCTCTGGGGACATTTCAGTCATTCTGTCCGACAGCTGAAAGTCCACACGCTTGAGCGTAATAATCGTATTGGGCTCAGTCAGTATCTTGTATGTGCAGAAGCGTGTGCTACTAGTCAAGTTGGGGTAGCCCGGCGATGTGATCGTCCCGCTGGCCGCATCGTAGGTGCGTGAGCAGTCCATGTGGTAGTGCAGCTCGAAGCGATCGACAGTAGTGCTGGCCGTGTTGGCTGTGTAGAACTTGATGCGTATGCGATTGTAGAGCGAGTGGAAGCTGGGCGGCAGCGCAGCAGCACCGCCACAATGTTTGCTTTGAAGTACGGTGACAGCAGTCGCCCCCTCACTCGAGCTAGGCGTGACGTCATACAGCTCAATGCATGAGTCCACTGCTAGCTGAAAGATGTTGAAGTCCAAGCTGATGGACTCACCCAGTGCCAGGCGAATGTCGTAGTCGCACGCGATGGCGCCCGTACCGAGCTCATAGTTGGGCGACTGTATGGTGCCCTGCTTGCTGGTATAGACCCCACCGCAGCCCGGCAGCCGCTCTTCGGCGGAGTAGTGCAGCTGAAAGCCCAAGTCGGTGCCAATTTCATCCGAATGGAAGCGAATGATAGCCTCATGGGTGGGCAGCAACAGCGGAGCCGGTCGCTCCCGACTGCAAAACTTGTACAGCTCCTGGCCAGAGATGGCGTCGCTTATCTGAAAAACAAAGCCATTAAGGAACATGGTCAAGGCTCAAGGCTCCCTCCCAATCGATGCCTACCGAGACAAAGTCAAAGTTGCAGGTGTCGTGATCCTCCAGCTGCAGGCTGAAGAACGTCAGCTTGATTCGTTTGTTGCTCGGCGCCACCAGATGCCACTGGCAGTCGCGATTGCGTGGGTAGTTGCCGGGCGAGCCCGGCGAGGCGAGGGTACCGTGCGTCTCGAACTCAAACAGGCCGCCACACCGCGGCTCCATCGACTGCCAGGTGAGATCGAAGCCGGCGCGAGCCGTCGAGTTGTCGGAGCGGAACCACAAGTAGAGCTGGTTGCTAGACGAGATGATGTTGCCGCCGTGCGGCTTGTGATTGCCGCAATAGCGTCCGATGACCTGGGCTGCCGCAGAGCGGCCATCGTTGATCTGCAGCCAATCGAAGCGGCATTCCGTCGAGTCCTCTATGTCAAAGCTCTGGAATGTCACGTTCAGCACCAGCGACTCGTTCGTCCGAATCACCCAGGCGCATTGCGAGTTGTGCTCGTAGCTGTCGCCTCCCGGCGGATAGCGGAGCCGTCCCGTCATTCCGGTTAGCATCGCATTGCAGCTGCTGAACCGCACATCGCATAGTCGACCCCGATAGCCCGGCTGGCACTGGCAAACGAAGCCGCCGCCGCCACCTCCTCCCGTCGAGGGCGTTGAGCTGCAGCGTCCGTTGTTCTTGCAGGGCTGCGAAGTGCACGCATCGGGCAACGGATCACAGCGCGGCCCATGGAAGCCGCGCGGGCAAATGCACGTATAGTTCGAGGGGCCAGCATCCATGCAAACGCCTCCATTCTGCAATACACAAGAAATAACTCAATTATCGGTTAGCTGGATTAGCCCTCCCCGATTGCAAGGGACCCTTCCAGTCCCTCAATCAGTCGGACAGCAAGTCATCAGCAGGGGTTGCCCCTAGTAATCCAGGCCCAGTTTCAACTATGGCTCAAGCCATGGAAAAAGTAAGACTAGAGTTTTACCATTACAAAAAAATAAAACATGTATTGCAGAGTTGACGCCCTATATTGATTCTTAATACCGAGGGGTTATTGATCCTACCGAAGGGTTGTTGATCCTACCTCTGCAACTGTTATATGGTTATTCCTTTTATCAAAATATGGGAAATCGTATCAATGAGACAGTTTATATACGCTTTTCCTATTTGCCACGGCTCCATATATGACAATATGTAGCAGCTCTAGGATTCTAGCTCCAAGTAAAACGAAAAACAGACCTACCTACCTACCTAAACTCTACCAGGAAATACACCAAATATTTAAGCTTGGATATTGACCTGGAAATGAAACCAGCCACAGTCTTGCAAAATTTCGAGATCTTTCCTATGAGGGGAACATAGATACGGTCGTCGAGTGTCAAGTGCCCCTACTCGAATAATTTTTGAATGACGGTGTGCTGTACTCCACTATATCATTCAGAGCTCTACGACGCGGGTAAAGTCGAATATGAATATTCCAAGCTGACAATATCTAGCCGGACGAGTAATTGACAATCGATCAGCCAGACGTAGAGACGCTTAACCCAAACCAATATACTCCTTTCGCTTAATATGAAATAAAGCTAGTTCCTTTCCGAATCAGAGTGATTGGATTGGATAAAGTAGAGCTTTCAGCTGAACGCTTACCATGCAGGGCAAATCATTGCAGTTTTTGTTGGTGCCGCGGATGCAGCCCGTCTCGCCGTAGCCGCTGCCCACCATGCCGGCGGGACAGCTGCAGATGATGGTATTGGAGATCTCGGAGCAGATGGCCGCCGGATGGCAGAGCGAGTTGCGCTGCGAGCAGCTGGTGTAGCCAATGCCGTTGCCATTCCCGTTGCCGTTGCCGTTTCCGTTCCCGTTGCTGTTGCTATTGCTGTTGCGCTGGCAGGTGCGTCCGTCGCCCGTCCAGCCGACGGGACATTCGCCGCAGTGGCTGGAGCCGTAGCTGTTGATGCACTCGACACGCGGGCTGAGGCTGCAGCCGCCGTTGTTCGTCTCGCACTCGTTGATGTCGCGGCAGCTGACGCCGTTGCCGGTCAGGCCGGGCGCGCACGGGGCACAGGTGAAGCTGCCGGGCAAATTGATGCACTTGGTGGAGCAGGGCGTATGCGCGGCCGCCGTACACTCGTCGATGTCCTCGGTGCACGTGGGCGTCAGTCCGTTGCTGCGCCAGCCAGCCTCGCACAGACAGCGATAGCCCGTCGCATCGCTGCTGGGCACGCAGCTGCCATGCCCGCACAGCTCCCAGCTGCTCGCCGCCGAGCAGTCCGTCTTCCGCTGGCTGCAGTGCATCCCGTGCCAGCCGGGCGCGCACATGCAGCTGAACGAGCCAAACTGATTCACGCACTGCCCTCCGTTCTGGCAGCCCAGGTCGGTGCCCTCCAGCAGCGCGCACTCGTTTACATCCCGCTCGCACCGGCTGCCCTGTGATAGATAGAGAGACAGAGAGAGAGAGAGAGAGAGGGAGAGGTAGTGTAAGGCTATCGACACACACGCCCCCCAAATACGCCCCCGGGTGAATTACCTCGAAAGCAGCCACGCACAGGCAACGGTATCCATTGTAGGTATTGAAGCAGGAGCCGCCGTTCTCGCACGGATTGCTGTGGCAGCTGTCCAGCTCGACCTTCGTCTTCAGCCGCTGCACCTTGTTCTCCACGACGCGCAGTCGCGAGTGCAGACGTCGCAACAGCAGGTTGCTAGCCCGGGTCCTGCATATTATACAAAGTAGTGTCAATCAATCATTCTGGAGCTTATCAAGTCGACCTACATCATTCGATTATCATCATGGAAGATTCTGGGAAACATCCCTGGTACGGGCTATCGAACGTAAGTGAGATCTATACACAATAGGCACGATGATATCGATCGAAGGGCTACTATGTATCTACACACCTACATAATCATATTACATAGATACTATCTCGATCTATATGCATCGCTCATATATTTTATAAATCTTCATAGGTATACCCCAGATGCATCACTCATACATCGATCGCACCATGCTCAGTCCGTTCTACTGTAATCGTTACATAAATGTCCCTTGCTAATCTTCTATAATCTAATAATTTACATAACAATTATCGCGTGTTTAAACATTCATTAATCTTCCCTCCCTTTTCTTCTTAATCTTAACTTTATACCTCAATGTGCTATGCCATTATTTAATAATTTATATGGCAATTATCAAAAGTTTATACAATAAATAATTTACATAAAGAGCGGATTAACAAGCAACTTAACTTAACTTTTTTTTCAAGTTTTCCATTACCACTTTCAGTCTCATATTTCATATTTTGACTCTCGCTCTGTCAACTTTAAATAGATGAATATCCCTACCGATATAAATCGACTCTCCATCATTTACAGTTGTAGTTACATAAATATACTCCCCTCTTATTAAATTCCAACTAAGTGTGTATACCCCGTACATATCTCCATTTACCCCACGATGGGATACTGCCCACATCTGAGTTAGAACTTCCCACTTACATCACAATAAAAATTCCTTTGATGGTTCCACAAACACTCCACATTTAACCATTGAGCTTACCTATTTTGAACCTGACTCAACCTGGCGTTGAGCCCATTGGGTCCAAGGGCTTGGGTTCTGAACCCCGTTAGCTGATCGGCAAGATCGCGCAGATCGACAATGTCATCGACGCCGTTCCACTCGTCCTTGGCAGCGCCGCTTGTGGGTCGCTTCTTGCTGCCGCCGATGGGCATCAGGAGATCGAGCACATCGTATTCCTCATTGATCACCAGGCGGGAGCTGCCGCTCAGTCGGAAGCTGATGTTGCGATTGGCGCCCGACTCGAATATCAGATTGCCATCCTTGCTGATGATCTTGGGCCTACAAAATGGACCCAAAATTGAAAGCCGTAAGCCGTCAGCCGTCAGCCGAACGCGTAGCTGCCTCTACTTACGAATTGACAAAGCCTTCCACGCAGCAGATCAGGAGCAGGAGGATGAGTAGGGGCCGCAACCGGTTGCGTGCTCTACGGCTACACATGGTTCATATTCCGCAACGCAGTTTCGAAACAAAAATCTATTATGAATAGGAATTGAAACAGTTTCGCAGACGTTCACTTGGCTCAGCTCTCGATCGAGCTCTGTCGGTGTCGGCGCACGCCGTCCGCGACGTCAACTGCGGGGCGTTACCGCGACGCCACATGCCGCACGATTTAACGGTATACGCCCACCACTTGCCGCATTCCGATAGTCCGCCAATGGTCAAGTAATACGACTAGAGTGAACACCCTTCATGCTTTTTTTCTTTGCTTAAAAGGTACACATTTATTTCAGAGCAACTCTCTGCGGAAGCTAATAATATCTGGAGGAGGGACACAGACATAGACATATAGACATACAGATAGGTACATATTTATATATATATATGCACATTGTTGGTTCGTGGATATACACACTAGTTATATATATATTTGGATTGTATAATATACGTTTTGCCTGGCTAATAGTGCTTGATGTCGACTTCTATCGTATGCTCTTTACCCGAAAATAATATTAATGTTAGGCTTAACTAAATTCCATTCCAGATAATCGAGTTAAATGCTTATACAAAAATACATTTATCTTCAAGTTCTTCAATTTTCAATATCATGTTTATTCAATTACAACAATTTTCGTAGCTTAAAAGGCGAAAATAAATTCTGTTTTTTCGTTTCCTGTTTTGAGTATTTTTTTGTCACTAAAAGCAATATTGGAAAGAGCATAGAAGCGACGATGTGTGCCGATAATAACGTTGTTATTTGATTATTTTTACAAAAATCAATTTCTAAAATATAGCAGAGCAGACTCATCAGTGTATGTGTGTAAGTGTGTGTGTGTGTATTACAATAGTTGCTTGTCATATTTCAATAGATGCAATGTTTGGTTAAGTACAGCTAGACTCTAGTTTAACTCGGGTGCTGAAGATGTGCCCAGAAGTCTTTTCGGTTTGTGTGTGTAAGTTTTACAAATGCACAAGAAATCTATTCATGAGTATATATATATGTATATATGGTAGAGGAGGAACTAAAGATCTGAATTACAAAGAGAAAGTAAAACTATAGTAAAGATAAGTTAATATATTGTTTTTTTTTTTTTTTTTTTTTTTTAGACATTTACAGTTCATATTGTGTTTTTGGGGTTTTGGCATTTCACATTTAATTTTAACATGTTCTATTCTAGAGAGGTAAGCAAAAACAAAAACAAAAGTCTGTCCGCATGGAATATGAGTGAAAAGTCCGCATGCATACATATACAGTGTATAATTCGCAAAATATATGTATATATATATATAATTAGAATCACAATAATGAAATGACTTGCGTTAAAAGTAAAAGTACACATAAAGGTAATTGGTTGAAGCGGCAGACAGGTCCATAGATCACATATACATATATACCTAGATTTATGCTATGCCAGCAAAACTCTCCCTCGCTCTCGCTCTCTCTCTCTCTTTCTCTCTGGACCTGTCTACACAGCCCTCTCATTTTCTCAAGCTATACAAATCTAATTACAGTAGGCAACAAACACGTACACAATAAATAAATTAATTAATACAAACATATATAGATATACATATGTATATATCTGTATACACATACACATTTAGATTACAATTGAACTTTTTGCTTATGCTACACTTTCTCTGTCGTTCGCCTTCCCTTCCACCCTCTCACCCTCTCTATCTCCCACTATCTATCTCTATCTCTGTCTCTCTCTACCTCGCTCTCATCTCTATTTCTCCTCCGCTCTGTGTCGTGTTGCATGTTGCCGGTTGCCGCTTGCCTATAGCACATCTCCGAATATCTGTAAAACCAGCTTGAGTTTTATTGCAGCCTCCAAATGCATTCTTTTGGATTGTTCAGTTGGTTGTGGGCGTGGCCTTGCTACTCTTCGTCCGCCTTATGTGCTCCGACTTATGATAGAGAAACTTATAGCTGGGCTGTTGCTCCGTATACTGTACAAACTTATCTGTGAATCAAAGGAATTTCTCGTTAGTTTTCACACATTATACAGCTAATTGGGATCCAGGACTAACCGAAGGATACGTAGCCAATGTTGTCGGGGTCCAGGGCATAGAAAAGCGTCTGTGTCTTCTGCTCGGTCATCTTGCTGCCGCCATGCTTCATCAAACGCGTGAAATTCTCCCTGCTAATCTTTTCACTCGACTCACTATACAGCTGTTAAGGAATATAAGCAATAATATGAGATCAGCGATTCCCATATGGTCATCCATCCAGGGCTACTCCTACCTTGATTAGTGCTCGCAGAAACTCTATGATTTCGTCATTTTTCAATTTGCAAAACAGCGAACAGACCAGGAAACTCTTCAGACTCACTGTGCCCTTGTGCCGCTAGAGATAAGAAAGGCAAGGTCGATGAAGGGATATTAGTCAGGGAATAAGTAAATATAGATATGCAAATATAGATCTGTAGAATCCGGAAATAGCGACAGTCCCTTGAAGAGTCTATATCCACATAAGCTTATTCGTATACGTTTGTCTGGGGGCCAGAATTCTCGTCGCATTAACCGGATTCCACTCTATATTTATAGACACCTACATGATTGAGCAGAGCAAAGAGCTTGTGCAAATCGGGGTTCTTGAGGTCCACTTGGAGCAGCTCGGCGAATGTGATTATGTCCAGGTTCTCTGGGTTGGCCAGCGTCAGATACTTTTCGCACAGTTCCATGTCGCGCTTCGAGTCGAGGAGGTCTAGGGCATCGAGCGTATGCTCGATCTCAACAATGTCGCCGGGAAATGGTATTTTCATTTCACGCGCCCGACTCATCACGATCACATCCTCGAACGAATAGTCCGACGTGGGCACATCCAATGCGCTACAAATACAAAATACGATATGCGATAAATATATATATAAATATACGATAAATGTCTCTCGATTCCAGATTGGAAACTTACGCGGCCATCACTTGGCGTACGTTGTTGGCATAGAGATTGGCATCGGCCATTTCGGCGGGCGACGGTGTGTATACGGGCAGGTATTCGATTTCGCAACGGTTATAGAACTGTGTCATGGTCAGCCATAGCAAGCGCAATCTGTTTGTTGAGGAATAAACGTTAGGAGATCGAGAGGAATGTCTAGCTGAATTGACTGCACTTACACGCCGGGACCATCCCAGGTCCAGGTGAAGGTGTCGAACTTGTTGGGGTATCGGAGCAGCACTGGCTGCACGGGCACGCCCGGGTAGAAGGCGCCGGGCTTGAATTTGATTAGCGCCGTGCGATTGGTGCACGTGCCCTCGGCAAAGATGACCACCTGCGGCCAGTCCTCGGGCGAGCGGGCACGATCCACAATATTCTTAATGGTGTTCTGCCTGGAGTTGGGATCCTCGCGCTGCACATAAATGGGCTGGGCGTAGTTGATGATGCGACCCAGCAGCGGAATGTCCGCTGTCTCACGCTTGGCCACAATCGACGGCGGATGGCCAGAGACCACCACAATGGAATCCACATACGACGAATGCGGCGCCACGACCAATATGGGCGCCTCCTTCGAGGTGGCCGGTGTGCCCTTCATCTTGATGTAGTGGAACGATCCGGACGTGTATACCATGCGCATGGCACGTGCCGTCCAATACTGCATTAGCCTGCCGAGAGCATAGAAGACATATCAATCTCTGAGTGAATGGACTGGCCATCAGTTAAGCTGCGACTTACTTGCGCCAGCCGCTGAGCGGCTTGGCCTGCAACTCCTCCATGGACATGCCATAGAGGCCGATGCAGGCGAACATCCATGCCGATAGCAGCGACAGGACGCATCCCACCACGCGTATGGGCAGCAACAGCACGGTCAGCACATAGATCTGCAATAGATAACGGTGATTAGCGCCTCTGCAGACAAAACACAAATTCAAAGCGCGCCTATCGTGGCCTCTCGATACGATAAGGCAAACCGTTTTCAAACTGAACTTTGATATCTCCCAGCCGACAGACGACAGACGACAAACGACCAATGAAAGTTTATAAAACAAACAGAAAATACAAATACAACTCGATCGCCAAAGTCAAATAATTGACGTGTGCGCTAAAGTTCAACATTCCTTATAGCATTCAGTATTCAGCTTTGTCTCTAGTATTACACTATCTGCATTTTCCTGTTGTATTTCCAAATCATATTCGTTGCGCGACTACATCGCGCTGGAAAGGGAAAGTTCTAGACGTCGATTTCAATATCAGAAACTAATTTACATGACTTGAATATTTATAGCTATATTACTAAATCCATGTACAATATTTATATTTACATTTATATATATTTTGTTTCTCAAAGCCAAATGTCACTATTTTTTATCACTTTAAATCGGCTTAGTAGAGCAGCGAGTCATTAGGACAGAGGTTCAGGTATCAGCTTTAAAATACTGAACTATGAACTATGTATATGAACTATATAGTTGTTCTTTAGTCGGCAGTGCACGACTAGAAGATAACTGTTGTTTCAACTGTTAACTCAATTTTTTGACAGATATTCATATATGTATATCCGTTTCTGTTTCATCCCAATACTTATTTTAACTGAAAAATAAAAATATAATAATGGGCAACATAATGAAAATAATAAAATTGTTTACAATCTCTGCATTCATTCATGAGCACCTGTTACACCATTGTCTTGATTAAATACATCTTGATCATCGAGCACGTCTTCTTCTTTCTGACTGACCAGAACTGCCAATATCAAGATACAAAAGCGACAACAGAAACGCATGGGAATGAAACACGCTGTTGACGGAAACAAATGAAAATGCGCTTACAATGTTATTAATGTCGATAATACTTAAGTATGAACAATACAAACATAAATAGCAAAATCTTGACATCGAATCCAATTAGGTCTTTTACTTAAAATTCATATTTTTGTGTTTCGAAAAGTTCGCTCCATAAAAATCTAACTACATGCA